TGCACCGACAGTTTGGCCAACTTGGTATCTCTGCTTGAACGGCACTGTGTTTCTACAGACACGATGCATCAGTCTGTGTTGGCGTGTTATGCTCAAGCACTTGATCTGGCACTGCTTGAAACCCTCGATAACTGCAACTAGAAGCTATCGGTACAGCTCACGATTATCACTCAAGCTCGTTCGGCTGCATGATTTGGAAGCTGTTTTCACAAGCTGTCTATGTTCTAGAGATGTCATCTGTTGCTTGTTTTGAACGTCATAAGCTCACCCAACGTCGACGATAACCACGTCCAACGAGCTTACAAATGCAAAACTTCAATGATTCGATACTCACGAATTGTTCCACCTTCGGGGTCCCCCCCCCCTGCATTACTTCTTCCTTGCATACAGTCGCCTAAAGCGTCTGAGACCTAAACACAAAAACACATACCAGAACCAAACATTTCTCGTTCACAGAAAAGAGAAGTGCGAGTCACTTTTCGACACGCTGTGTATATACAGCTAAGGAATACATCTCACAACACCCCTACAACATAGGACAGCCTTTGGGAACCTTTAGGAAATTACGCAGCCGAATGAGATTATGTGTCAATCGTGGGTAGTATCGCTATGTCTCTACAGTTCTCATCTGACTGTATGTATATATTGTGTGTTTCGTGTCTGGAGATAGTTAACCAATTCAATGTCAGGAAACTAATCAAACTTTAAACATTGTCTAGGAGCAGATTCGCGAGTCAATCTATACCACAGTGAGTTTCAAAAATCGCGCCCTTACACTTTTAACAAACATCTCGAAAACGCAAGTAGGGATCAACACTAATTTTTGCATGTGGCCTTAATTTCCCATGTCCTTACGATTTACAACAGGTTATGATTTACATCATGGAAACTGACTGTGCAGCAATACATAGTGATTATTTTGATAGCCTATCCGGCATTCAATGAAAAATCCGTTACTCATAGGAGACTAATGCGGGAGATGATCTGAGAGTGAAACGCATGCGATTTGATGTTCTGAAAAGTTCCCGTTACCTCAGTTCACTGTTAGCATGCTGTTTGCTTTGAATCGGTGTCTGTTTTCCATGTACATAAATAAGGGGAAAAAAAGATAAAAAAGAAAAACACGCAGATTTTCATTTCTGTTGCTGATAATTAGTTGCTTTCGTGCGCTTATTTCTTTTAGGACAACTTTATTGCGCTTTTCAAGACCTTATCCTGTTATAAAAACGACAGGTGCTGTTAAAATTCCGAAATGGACAAAAAAAATTGAGTAGACAGATAGGCAAGGTTGCAATCAATAATGAATCAAATACTTGATAAGATCAAACACGCGTGTACCGGTAGTCATTACACAGAACATTCCTTTCGTTTTAATCGTTTATTTAGGGGGAAAAGGGGGGGGGGGTGGGGGGTGGGGAATCTGTCCATATTTTTGCGTAATCAAGGAAATATATTGGGTAAGATTTTTTGTTTTAAATTTGCGATTCAGAAATGGAGCCTTGGATATCTGTAACTTATAAAGCGGTAAACACATACACACACACACATACAGACCCAGACACGCACACACAAAATCGCAAATGTCTGTGCGTGAGCCCGGACGTATGTTTCCCCCCGAGTATGTATGTATGTATGTATGTATGTATGTATTATGTATGTTGTATGTATGTATGTATGTATGTATGTAATGTATGTATGTATGTAATGTATGTAGTATGTATGTATGTATGTATGTATGTTATGTATGTATGTATTATGTATGTTTGTATGTAGTATGTCTTTATGTATGTATGTATGTATTATGTATGTATGTATTATGGTATTGATGTATGTAATGTATGTTAATGTATGTATGTATGTATGTATGTATGTATGTATGATGTATGTATGTATGTTGTATGTATGTATGTATGGTATGTATGTATGTATGTATGTATGTATGTATGTATGTATGTATGTATGTATGGTATTTATGTATGTATGTTGTATGTATGTATGTAATGTATGTATGTATGTATGTATTGTTGTATGTATTATGTAAGTGTAGTATGTATGTATGTATGTATTAATGTATGTATGTAGTATGTAATGTATTTTATGTATGTATTCTGTATGTATGTATGTATGTATGTATGTAGTATGTATGTATTTATGTATGTAATGTATGTAACCCAAGGTGTACGTGAGTGGACCGCTTTTACTGGCATACCGCGCACAGGGGGCGCTTATTGGGGGAAGTAGGTCAGTGTTTATTGAACTGGTGATTGGCAGCTGGGATTTGTTCTGCGTGAAGCTCCAGAAGAAAATATTACATCGACAAAATGGGGAATGCATGAGAGGGAAAGAGACATTGATAATTTGAAAGAAGAATAGGAATAAAAGAAATAGGAGGAGGAGGAGAAAAAGAAAGAGGGCGAGAAAGAGAAGAAATCAAACGAACGGAAACATATAAGTACTTGGATGCACATTTCAACTGCTCCAGCATGCTAAGAGAAAAAATACAATCTTGATGACAATCTGGAAATAAAGTATACTATGCCCTTCAACAGCTGCTAAAGTCGGAGTCTCTATCTCGCAATATCAGGGCAAAAATATATAAAACTTTAATAAGATCAGTCGTTTTGTATGGCTCTGAAACTTGGAGCACAACTTAAAGAAATGAGGGCTTATTGCAAGTTTTCGAAAACAGAATATTACGACGAATCTTTGGACCTTTCAAAGATATAGCAGCGAGGAATGGAGAGTGAGAAGCAACAACACAATCATAATCTGTTTGAATGGCCATTGGTCATTGGCATCATGAGAGTTAATAGGTTGAAGAAGAGAAAGTAATCATCATAGAAGATTCCAAAGAAACGTTAAGAATCAACTCCAAGAAAAGGGTAAATTTGTACTGTTTATTATAGCAAATGTCTTTATGTCTATTGGAGGTTTATTACACATTTTTTAAATGTAAAATGTAATCAGAAGTTTTAAAAAAAATGGAATTGATTGAAATGTTTGTATAAAAAGATTGTTTTTGGGGAAAAAAAATAAAAATAAAAATAAGAAAAGGAAATTTGTGCTAAACTGATAAAGCTAATGGCTTATACTTTTGACAAGACAATTCAATTATTTGTAAATGTCATTATCTATCTAAATATTTTTTCAACAGTATTTTATTAAATCTCATTGCTTTATCATAAACTGAAATATTTACAATATAATAAGCGCCCCAAATTTGATAAACTGCCGTGGCAGCCCCGGTACAAAGTAAAGACAAATTCATGTGGTTGTCTTGGAAAACATCTTTAAAATGACTAGATTATCTAGGAGCAGACAGTTTTTTTTAAACATCCGATGTATTTGATCATAATATCGATTTTCTTGTCATCTTCCAGAGTCGGCGGCGACTGAATTAAAGGCGGTCTCTGGAAAATTACCACTGTAACTTTCAGCGTTTAAGATAAACAACCTTCGGTTGCATGTGGGTGCTTGCTTCTCATACACGACGTTAATTCTTGTGATAAGTTTGTATCATTCAATGAAATGGCAAAAGGAAAGAACCTTTTTCCAAGCCTTTAGGCATATTGGGAATATAGGGCTAGACCTAAATTTTACAGACTGATCGGCACTTGATGGGTGATATGGTCAGAATCACGCCGGCCGCCTTTGCTTCTCAGAACTTTACCTGGTATCCTCTCATTATCGACCTGGGAGTCAAGGTCATTCTTTAAACAAAAGTGCGGCTCACTCAGAACCTGAACCCACGACCTTCCGATCCGCAGGCAAGCGTTTAGCCGCTACACCTTGACGGCACCTGTAAGTCAGATAAGAGATGCTTTATTTATTTTACACTAGGATATCAATGTCAGCCATGGACTGTAATATAAAGTCATAAAGTATGACGACAGTATGTGAGACAGATTTATACAACATGTCTGCTGGTAAAACAACGAGAGATATAATACAAAACAACAGACTGGGTAAAATCGTGAGACCAGACTCAACGTCTGGAGGGGTTTCAACGCGGAAGGGAAAAGACAGGTGGACTTTTTATCAGTTTTTACTGGTACCACCACTATGTGAATTTTTCTTTGGGTACTGAAGAGAGGGACAGATTATGATAAGGAATATCAATAACGCAATGATGTCATGATGTCAATTGAATAATTTTATTTGTTCAACCAAAAGTCACACCGATTTTATCCAACATAAAAGAATCAGGTGGTCTGGACGTATGGTCACAGAGAATCTCAGTCGGTATTCAGGGTGAGGATATTATAGGAGAACAAGATGATAGAGGAAGAGAGGTGATCCAGGAAAAAAATGGCAGGACAGATTCAAAGAGACAAGTTGAGTCTGAGAAAAAGTTACTACAGAGCTTAAAATATCCATACAAGTAGACACAGCATATTATGTGTATGTAGCTGTGTTTGTCTAATCCATATTTAGGTGTATGTATCTGTGTTAGTTTGTACCATATTCATGTTTATGTAGCTGGGTTAGTTTGTAACCTCTCCATGTATATTTAGTTGTGTTACTGTTACTCTATAACCTATCCATTTGAATGTAGCGTTATTAGTCTGTAATCTATCCATGTGTATGTAGCCTTTTACTCTGTAATCTATCCATGTGTATGTAGCCTTTTACTCTGTAATCTATCCATGTGTATGTAGCCTTTTACTCTGTAATCTATCCATGTGTATGTAGCCGTGTTAGTCTGTAATCTATCCATGTGTATGTAGCCGTGTTAGTCTGTAATTTATCCATGTGTATGTAGCCGTGTTAGTCTGTAATTTATCCATGTGTATGTAGCCGTGTTAGTCTGTAATTTATCCATGTGTATGTAGCTGTGTTAGTCTGTAATCTATCCATGTGTATGTAGCCGTTTTAGTCTGTACCATATTCAGATTTATGTAGCTATATTAATCGGTAATATGTCCATATGTATGTAGCTCAATTACCACATAATATTTGCACGTTTTCTATGCTGTTATTACTGTCTACTCCATACAGAGACCAGCAGCAACAGAATACTGCCTGTAATCACAGATAATCCCACAACGGTTGTCCACGATGAAGGAGATATGGCGATTTTATACTGCTCAGTACTCAACCTTCAGAACCACACGGTAATACATTTATATTAAGAAAGACCCTAATTTGCATTACATATTTTTACATGTGGAAAATGCAAGCGAGAACCGATAAACGACAGATGTTTACATCCTCTGCACTGTGTCTTGCAAGATTAGCTCAGCATTACAATATATGTATATGCTAGTAGTCCACAGCTCAGTTGGATGTGGTCAAGAATTGACATCACAGGACTCGGGGCCTTCCCATGCGTGCTCCGCCCTCATCTTCAGCAGCTAGCGCAGAGTTCCAATACAGTTGGTACTGGTCACAATCTAGTTATATGTCCGTCTCTTGCCTTTCCTCCGAGTAGTCCACAGAGAGCTTATAAGTTATCTCTACACTCCAGGCAGGGCCGGGTATAGACTTCGTGAGGTTCTAAAGCTGGCTAAGCTTATATGAGGCTTTGAAGAACTGTTTAAAAACAAATCACCCCAGTCGGGACTGCGGATGACTCTACCGGCGTTTCCAGTCTAGGAAACTTGTTACGGGGAGGGGCGGTTAAATAGCCAGACGTGGTTAACCAGTAAGGACGGCTGGGCGAGATTGCCAGGTGGACCAGTGGTGGTCAATTTGAGAGAGAAATGACCATTCATTTGGAAAAACAAAAATAGGGCAGTTCCGCTTTAACGCATGGGCCCCCTGGTACTTACCCTGGGGGGGGGGGGGAAGAGGGGGCTTAAACATAAGGGCCCGTGCTAACCTGTGTATGTCGCCTTAAATAACAGTTTCATTTTTGTAACTGATTGTCGTAGGGACGTCAGCACACTGATTTTCCTAGGGACCCATAATGCTACTAAGGCGTTTCGAAAAGAGAGGATTGGAAAGTAGAAATTATCAATGTTTGTTCTAATCAGACACACGAAAAAGATGCTTGGTGTGCAAACCTGAGATTGCTTGTGTGTTCGTGTGTGGCTGACTGACTAACATTCAACCCCTCCAGGACATCACACCGAGCTTAAACACTTGGTAACACAAAGTGCCAGCATTCAGATAAGGATAATTCAGGAACAGGTTCCAGAAACTCCGTTCAACCCATGGGGTTGGTTAAATTAGGGCCCCCGGCAAGAGCCAGGGTGGGGCTTTAAAACAACAACAAATTGTGTCCAACATTGAGACGCAGTAATTTTACCCGTATGGTTTATGATAACTAATAAAATGTTAGCCCTATAGATACTTGGGTTGCTAAGTGTTAAAATTTCCCACGATTTGGGTCACAATATACGTCGTGGGGTGGCACTTGTTTTCTTGGTCACATTTCATTTTCAGACTATTCCCAGAAAACACAGAATTGGAAATTATCACCTGCACATGTTTAGGCTGTGTTGACCTTAAATTTAGGTGGCAACAAATAAAGCCAGTTCTGGGATTCACTCCGGACAACTGACTCAACAGGCATGCGCTTTATCTCTTCTAGTCCTAAGGAAAGCCTGGTTTGTGAGTGACTCTGCGCCTTGATTTCCTTCCATAGTATTCTTCTTCTTCGCGTTCACCGGCTGTAAACTCCTGCAGAAAGTTCTGGTTGTTCATCCTCCTCTGGACTTTAGACTTGTTCCAGAACCTGAATGTTACATGAAGATCTTTATCTGTATGCAGACTATTTGTTCCTTGCCCTTCAGGTCGATGTACTCCAACTTTGAAAGAAACCTCAATTAGTCTACTCCAACGACATGCTTGTTAGGGAGGCAGTGGACCTCTTCCTGTTTTCACCACAATAGGGCCTTGAAACCCACAGGAGGCCCTTTCATAGTATCATGGGCTCTTTTATTTTTTAACATTTGGTCAGAACATCCTCAAGAAATCTGACCTCACTCAATATTCACTGTGAATATATATACTAAGAAAGCAATGTATTCATGATTTTTGATCCTGATTTTTTTCTTCACTTTTATATCTTCTGTGAAATTATCTGGTACCGAAAGGGTTCATCACTAGGCGACTGTGGTCTATGATGACAGTCTTCTTCTTCTGCCCTTCTAACCCCCAATGGAACACAGGCTCTTAGCCAACTCACCACAAGTCGTTCTATTCTTTTCTATCGCATGCAGCTTTCCCGATGTCCTTCCCATCTTTTTGACTTAACTTTCTAGCTCCCTTCTCGGTGTTTTTTTAATCTTCCTTTATTCCTATGCCCATGTGGGTTTCAGTGCAAAGACATTCTACTTATATTGCTCTAAAGGTTTCTCAACGTATGCCCTATCCAACGCCAGCGTCTTTTCTTCAGCTTTTGGTACACTGAAACTTGTTTAGTTCTCTCCCAAAGTTCTACGTTTTGATTCTAAAATGCCATTTAATTCCCTCTGTTCTGTGCAGGCACCAGTTAAAAAGTGTTTGTAGTTTATTAGTAATTGCCTTAGTTGTTCTCAATGTTTCCGCTCCAAACAACAGCACTGATCTTACATTATAATTAAACTTATAAGTTTCGTATTTCATTTAATTTCTTTTGACCTCCACATATTACCCAGTGCTATGAAAGCTCCTTTTGCCTTTTGCATTCGTATTTTAATATCTCTATAAGTTCCCCCATCTTTATGTACATTACTGCCCAAATAGGTGTACGACTTTACGTCGTTTAGTAGGCTACCATTAGGAGAAACCACATTACTATTTGCCAGATTTTTTCTCATTCAGGTAAATGGTAGTGTGGTTTATCTTAAGTGATAACAGTAGAGAAACAAAATACCAAACCGCTGTATTAACAGAATGGCTAGCAGAGAAACAAAATACCAAACCGCTGTATTAACAGAATCGTTTTTAACCTGATGATAGTGTATCTTCTACACGACGTAGTAAAACCAGCTTCAGCATTAAAAAAAAACATTTCTTGTGATTGTATTAAACAATTTTACATTAAGTAGATTGTCATTGCCTACTGGACGGTCGGTGCTACAAGCCATTGTAGAAATCAACACAAAACGGTCTGCATCAAGATCGCCTGCAGCTGAAATCTAACAAGGTATTTCGGGATTACAAAACGCGTTCAAAACGCCTGAACCACAGACGCCTGACATTAGCACCGACTGACAACACAATACGGATCTGGTTTTCTATTCACGTTTTAACCACCGACTGACAACACAATACGGATCTGGTTTTCTGTTCCCGTTTTAACCACCGACTGACAACACAATACGGATCTGGTTTTCTGTTCCCGTTTTAACCACCGACTGACAACACAATACGGATCTGGTTTTCTGTTCCCGTTTTAACCACCGACTGACAACACAATACGGATCTGGTTTTCTGTTCCCGTTTTAACCACCGACTGACAACACAATACGGATCTGGTTTTCTATTCACGTTTTAACCACCGACTGACAACACAATACGGATCTGGTTTTCTATTCACGTTTTACGATGCAGGTCTCTGTAATCTGAGCGAAGCTGTAGATACTCACTTTTCAGTTTATCTCGGAGACGTATGATACTGATTCAGCAACGTAATGTCGTAATGCGCCTGCAGCGATTGGCAAGCGATTAACGAGAACATCGTCATGCGATCTATTCGCCAAATTATCCACAAACGTATCTAAACCGTGGCACTAGTTAAGGCTATGAAATGTGAACTAAAAAAAATAATAATTCTGCGAGTTATAAGGTTATAAAGATAGAATTTGCTCAGAGAAGAGATCAGATGGACAGATACTTAAAAGATAGCTGAGGAAAATAGACACCTATTGAAAATGTAAAGTAAAGAAAAGGATATTTTTTCACGGGCGTATTGGGCATATATGGCTATACATATATTTTATAGACCAATCGGAAATCTGTAGGTGATGTGGTCAACATCACACCGGCCGCCTTTACTTTCCAGGACTAGACCTGACCCTCATTCAAGGCTGGATCGACCTGGGAGCCAAAATCATAAAAAAAATAATAATGTCCGGCTCAGTCAGGATCCAAACCCACGACTTTACATTCCGCTGGCGAGCGATTATCCGCTACACCATAGCGGCTTCCAATAAAAATATCCGCTAACAGGTACAATAAGTAACAACAATATTAGAATATTTAGGTCAATCGACGAGCAGTTGTGTATCCCTATTATGGTGTTTGATTATATATATCACGAGATATTAATGTAATCATTGAAACGCTTCATGATCATCATCATCATCATCATCATCATCATCATCATCATCATCATCATCATCATCACTATTATCATTATCATTATCTTTATCAATACCATCATCACCGTCTTCACCACAAATGCTACCATAACCACTACGTAGGTAGGCCATTCGGAGAATGTCGTTTTTGTCGGCCCACCTGAGTGAGCTGAATTGATTTCACAAACCGACATTATAACACTCGGACATTACCATAAGCTCTCCGTTCCCATCTTCAGCAGCTAGCACATAAATCCAATACCAAAGGTGCCAACAGCATTCTGATTGTGCGTCCGCCTTGCCTTTCTCTGAGAGTTGATTATCAAACAGATCGCCTGGTCACTTTCCGCTGCATCGCTCTCACCAACCTTTGGTGATCCATATGTTCCTCTGAATTGTACACGTTTTCCCATAAGGTCCTAACCACGTCTGCCTTATCATGCATAAATATCCACTTGGTTGTGCAGAGCCAGCCAATCTGTCAGCCTGTTCCTTTCTCAACACACCGCCATTCCCTGGAGAAAAGATCCAGACTGTGCTCGTCATCAGTGACCTCCGAAGCGAAGCATACCCGTCCCCACTTGAAAGACTATCGTTGGCTATCTCGACTGTCTTTATATTTCCATGCTGAATGTGTCTTTATCGTCCCATCACCTAAATGATGGTCGATCCCTGTGATTCACTGAGGTACAGTAACTTCTGTAACTGCGCTGGAGCTAGACATAAGCTAATTTAGACTTAAGCTAACAAAGTTGAAACTTAGAGCCTCAAAATCTGCATCAACAATTTAATATTTTGTGTTCACAAATAAAATTTTCTTTTCATAGAGTCTATAACATGTGACTACGAAGAAACATCCCCTACTGGTCGTCGTTTACGACATG